GGAAACATGGGGCATTCTGAACAGCAATGGCTCGGAAGCGGACAGAACCAATGCACCTTCTCAACACGGAAGAGGAAACGAGCATGCTTGTGTGATGCAGTGCAGCCTGGAGGTATAAATAGCTTCTACAAAGGTTAGCAAAATGCACAGATGAGAAATCTACGGTAGGTTACTAAGGGAAACCAGGATGCTCAGTGCCACATGTCACCTGTTGCAGCTCACATCTGAAAGAAGCCTGGTGCCCCTCTTACACTCTATTCCCTGGGCCCTCAGGGATAGAATGTGAGGCTGCGGGGCCCAGAGCCTGGTGCTGTGAATGGTTATTTCATACACCTACTTGTAGAATACAGACTGACTTTAAAGCAGAAAACCTTTTTCAGGCTCACATCTCTTTCCTACCAGCTCACTCACTCTTCATTCCTCTCTGGGAAAAGTCTACCTGGAAGGGTGTTGTGAGCAAGTCCTGCTGAAAGACGGGAGGAGCTTCATGAATTGGCAGTACCCTCCTCCTTTCCTCTCCCCCTTCCCATTATGCTGGGCCCTTGGGTGCTGCCCCATGAAATGCAGGCGGGGCCTGCTGTCTGCTGCCTGCCTCTGGTGGAGATTCCCTTTGTTAGAGAAAGTGCCTCCCTGGGCACCCGGAGAGCTCCCTGGGCAACCACAGCTGCTGGGTTATGTCAAGTGTGAAGCAAATCTCACTTGTCATTGAAAAGCTACCCCAGGGGATACCAGAGTAAAGATATTTATAACTCTCTCGTGTATGCAACCAGGAACTTAGATGTTTAAAGTTACCAGACATAGCAACAGCATGCCTAAAGCATACACATGAACTTGTATATACTGAGACAGTGGTTAAATCTAGAACTCCAGGGATCCCAAACTCATCCCAACATATATCTTCCTGAGTGTAGGCATTCTGGGACGTGGGATAAACTGGGTTTCAGTATTTCCCTTTTCAGGGCCAAGGATTAAGAGATCAGCCTGGACCCCTCCACTAGAGCACAGCTTGCTATGCAGCTCCCTGCTGGCTTGTCTGGACAGAGGGAGAGCTAGTCACACTTTTCACTCCAAACAGCACACAGGCAGTCAGACAATCCCAGCTCTCAACTCCCTCCCAGAGCAGGCAACAGAGCTAGTGCAGCACCTGCACCGAAGTCCCCAAAGCCAGGCAGGAAAGGAGAACCTCCAGAGACCTAGGCAGAAAGCCAGACCTCCCTAAGAGGCCCCCAGAGAAGAGGAAGCCGCCTGTGTCAACTTCCACTCCAAAATGCTTGGCAGCCAAAATGTCACACTGTCCTTGGACCACCCAGAGACTTAGACAAGAAAGGGGGGCTTCCCTTTAGCAGCAATCCTCATGAGTGAATCAAGACACTGAAGGACGCCCTAGGCAAAGCATTCGATGGGGACTGATGTCCCCCACACTCTTGTTCATTTCTTTCTTTCTCTCTCTCTCTCTCTCTCTCTCTCTTTCTCTGTTAACAGCAGCAAAGGTCAAATGGACAGTAGCCTACTCAGGAAGACAAAAGGTCATCTACTCCAATCTTCCCTTGACCGGCAGATTCCTCATATACAAACTTGGCAAATGATGCATGTCGCTTTGGATTTGACTGAGGTCATCAAGAAGGCCAAGAGTAAGCAAGTAGACTAGAAGTGCCAAACTCAGAGAGGCAGTGCTGCTGCTATCTAAATAGGTATGCCAAGTGCCCACATGCATGAGTGAATATTTTGGAGAGAAAGCACGATGATCTTCCTCCTCATCCTATCTTCTCTAGAAAAAGAACACAGATGAAGAGATAGCTCAGCGGTTAAAAGCACTGACTGCTTCTGCAGAGGACCCAGGTTCAATTCCCAACACCCACATGACAACTAACAATCATCCATAACTCCAGTTCCAGGGGATCTGATGCCCTCTTCTGACCTCCATGGGCACTGCATGACATGGGTGCACTTACACACGTAGGCAATATGCTCACACACATAAAATAAAAAATAATTTTAAAAAAGAGAAAAAGAACCAATTGAAGCCACGCACATCCCTTGCTTTTCAAGTTCTACACAGAACTCTATAAACTATTTCTCTGACTCCACACCTCTGCCAGTGACTCTAGGGTTTGGCCTTTCTAGAAGAATCTATCAATTCCAGGCATGATGCACTGCGACCTCCCATACCACCCCCCAGAGAAAAACCTGCTCATGTCAGAATACAGTAATTTCTTACAACGTCTTTCACATACATACCTTATCCAAAGAACAGTGTCCCTGTCAGCTACTTTTCCAAAGGTTAATGACCTTAATATAGCCTGCAAATCTGTGGTGTAGATCCTAATTATCCCCATTTTTACTATTAAAAAGAAGGTAAATAACATAAACTCACATACCTATTAAAGCAAGGCAGAGATCTGAACCCCAAACATTTTGGTCCTGAAGCCCAAAGGCTTTCCTCCATTGACCATTTGGCTGAAATCCCTCTACTTATACCTATGTGTGTATGTAGGTACATGTATATACTTACCACTGTTATCATAAAAGGAATCTGCTACATATTCATAAAGGAATGGGTTCTTAATAACCAACACAGAAATCTATATAAAACACATGAACAAGCATTTGATCCAGACATTACTACAAGTGTTCTCACCAGCCATGTCATCCCTATCTTAAATGTTTTCTTTTGCACACCCAGAAGCTTAGCACAGTACTAAGTGTACAAGAGGTATGTAGCTTGGTATGATCACAGCTAAGTTTGCTTATGACTAATGAAACGAATTAGAACTAACTTTAACCCAAAATCAAGTCTTAGCTACTGGGAGAAATACTATGGGGGCCTAACAGCTGGGCCAACAGGGCAGGTATACCACTACTGAGTAAAGGCAGTAATATTCAATATTTTAATTTAAGTTCTCTAGGTATGCAGAGATGGCACACAACCCCTGATCACACAACCCCCCCTGCTGCTGTGCCCTGACCACCACCACCAAGATAATGGCTGTAGAAACCCCAGGAACTATGAGCAAGCAAACAATCTGACCAACTTGGGGGCATCTCAGCACCCCAATACCTCAAATTGGAGTGGAGCGGCACAGATTCAGACCCAGGTCTTAAGCTCAGCAGCAACCCTTTGTAAGCTGTGTGACCTTAGATATAAATAGATAAGATGTGCATGGGGTTGCCTGGTCTCTGATATGTAGAAAGCAAATATTAACTGCCTCTATGTATGAACACAATAGTTCTGAAGTGCTCTGTTGAAGAGGGTGCATGATTAAAAAATGATCATTGTGACAAGTAAAGTAGATAACAATAGTCTGAAAAGTTAAAATTAGAGACCGTTTTTTAAAACCTCCCTATTTTTAACTAAAAATATCAATCTCTTATCTAGGAATGGCACCACTTAAAAGTTGGTTGAGGGGCTGAAGGGATGGCTCAGCAGTTAAGAACACTGACTGCTCTTGCAGAAGACCCACAAGGTGGCTAAAAACCATCTGTAACTCAAGCTCCAGGAGATCTGACGCCCTCTTCTGGCCTCCGTGGGCACTGCATGACAAAGGTGCACTTACATACATGCAGACATAACACTCATACACATTTTTAAAAAATTAAGTTTTTAAAAAAGCCGATGATATTTGATTGTTCCACTTCTTGCCCTTCATATCTGAGGAAGGTAAAGAATAACCAAAAGAGGCCCCAAAGCTGAGAACCAGAACTGGCTGCTCTGGCCTGGGCCACTGATAAAACAAAGTGACTTCTGGCCCTTTGCACTGCCAGCAGTCCTCCATCCTCAGACCTTCTTCTAACAGTTCAGAGATTGAGGCCACATTAAGGTGCCCCCAACAACAGGGTATTTTTGGAATCTAATATATCATCTAAGAGAGTATCATTCTGAAAGACAAATCAAGACAAGTGACAAAGAATAATCAAGACAAGTGACTCCCTTTACTGAGCACTAAGCGTTTGGCATACAGGATCTGCACAGGGGAGTGGTCTTTTTCACAAATAAAGAAACTCAATGACTGGACTTCCCCCCAAAGTCACTCTAAGCCCTTCAGTGGTTTACATGTCCTCAGAGACTCAAGTCTGAACAAAAGAGAGAAATTTCTTCCAGAGATTTCTGATCAAATCATAGAGCAATCTGGATTCTGTAAAACTTCATCACACACAATCACCTCAGCCCCTGAGGAAAGTGGGACTGGCAAGTCAGTAGAGCTGGGAAGGGAGAGAAGACTGAGAGAAGCCTTAATCCTTTAGGAGCACAGCCTGGCAAAGTCTGATTTGCAAACACTGGCCAGACAGAAGCTGCAGAGAGGTGTGCTTTTCTTTCTGCACAACAATCTCTCCAAAGAAAACACAAAGTCACCTGGCCCTCCAGAGGGGAAAAAAGCTCTTCCTCCAAGATCCAAGCTGAACTCTTAACCCTCCACCTCCCATGCCCCAGAGAGTAGCTGATGGTTGTTGTTTCTTTTCTTTTTCCCTGTAGTCCTCGGGTAACACCACAAATTACGTTTTCAGGGACTGGAGTCCCAGAGTGCAATGATGTTGTAATAAACATAACCAGGACCAAAAGCCTTCCCATCATGTTAGATGATGCCATTTCCCACCAATCAGGCTCCTCGGGCAGGCAGACCACTCACCAATGAGGGACTAGAGAGAGGCTGTGAGGGGGAGACCTGGTCATCTGCAACTAAAAATAAGAGAGCTTCACCATTGGCCACCGCCACTTTGCAACAGGAGTTGGGACCCACACACCAGGCGCCACACATGAGACCCGCACAGGCAAAAACTTTCCCATCCTAGGGGTTCATACTGGTGGGCTGCTCTGCTTTCGTTCGTTGTTTCTGGTTTCCCTAATTTGCTGACTTAAGAAAATAAAAAGCAGATTCAGAGGGAGCCCTGGAAGACACGCCCTCCCACCTAGACGCCTCAGTTTCCAAAGGCCCTTCATAATCACAGAATTGGGGAAAGGTGGGGGTAATTAACGGGAGCCGGGCAGAGGCCAAGACACTCACCTGTCCAGCTGTGTCATAGAGTCCCAGGAGGTACTGCTTGCCCCCCACGGTGACGCTGACTGCAAGGACAGAAGTGGGGGCGGGGAGAGAAGCTCACAATGACCTGCGATCAGAGGCAATTTCGCTCCCCACCAAGACCCTCTTTTCCCAGCCCAGTGGGAGTCATGTGGGTGCTCCCAGGGAGATAACCTTTTCCTTTGCGCCCAGTCCACTGCCAAGTGGCATGAGATCCGGGTGTAACGTGGCCCCTGGCTATCCACCCCCTTTTCCCAAGTCTCCCAAGCCACGTCTCCCCTGGTGTCCCCAAATGTTTACCCCACAGGGGCTTTGGACAGTAGAGGGAGGTGAGCCTGGGAAGGTCAAGGAGGGCGCTCAGGGGACGGGGAAGTGCGGGGGGTGGGGAGAAAGGGGTGGGAGAGGAGGTAGGGAGAGGAGGTAGGAAGAGGGGTGGGAGTTGCAGCCAGGGGTGGCTAGAGGCACAGGCTCGGGGGTGGGGCAGCCTGGCAGAGGGCGCAGCTGGGGTGGGGAGGGGAGCACGCTCAGGGGAGGCAGCCAGGGGGCTCCGCCAAAGTTGCTCCAAAGTTCCGGCCCGGGACCGGGCCCCTTAGTCAGCAGGACCGAAGCTTACCTGCGTAGTGGTCAAAGACGGTGGGCACGTACTCCTCTGGGAAGGCGTCGTTGGCATAGCTCATGAGCAGGCACGTCTTGCCCACCGCCCCGTCGCCGACCACCACGCACTTGAGCATCAGCGCGCCGGGCCCGTGAGCCATGCTGCGGCCGGCCGGCCTCCGGGCATGGTACCCCCGGAGCCCCCGCCCCGGCCCCGGGTTCAGCCCCAACCCGCCTGGGGGGTCCGCCGTCGTCGCCGCCGCTCGGCGCAGCAGGGCCGCCCGCCCGGCCCCATGCAGCGGATCCCCTCGAGGGAGGGGAAGGGGCAGCGGGCCCGG